TTTTCGACACATTGTACAATTGGTTCTTTATGGATAGGCATACAAGCAACTTTTGGTCTGCTTCAATCAAGAGTCCTTGGTGCAACAGTTCTTGTCCCAGCAACATGACGTTAAATAGCACCAAAGATTAAATGAGTCGGCTTCTTCTGTCTGGCCATCTTAAACTGCCATGCAGCCTTGCTCCCATTAACAAGACCAAGATAAAAATTATATATGCCTGCCCATGAAAACAATATCCTGCCATTGTTGAATGAAACACATGCAGGTAACACGCTACAGGTTCACAATTGAAACATCAGTCTGACTAATGGCAAATGTAAACAAGTTTCCATAGCGACACCCCACATTTTACATAAGAGTACAATGAGCCAAGGCCTGTGAATGATGCATTAATGGATGAAGGTGTGGGTTTGGATCTGGAAGGGCACAGAGTGTAAACATTTATTAACAAAATAATAACGAGAAAACGAAGGATTGTGGGATACATGTTCATAAAAACGTTTTGTCTTCTTTTTGTGTAAGGAACCCATGCTCAAGTGTGTAAAAGTATTATTGAATCACTCTGCATTGCACAATATTTCAGTGATTCAGTCCTTATTGCTCATGCAGGACTCGATGATAGAGTACCCTAAGTTACTCATAGAAAGGACTTAAGGAAATAGTATAAAACCTATTCAAAATTTTTGGGAAAAATGGGTTTTTGTCATTGGTCATTTTTTGCAAGAAAACTAGCCCAAATACTACATTATATGTTGTTCCTGGTTGCTATTATTGTCTTCTCATCTAACCAATATGAAAGGGAAAAAAAACTATTATTTAAGAGCTTTTAAGATGGTTTATCATATTTACATATACAGCAAAAAATTGGCACTTTCACCTTGTGTAACAGGAGCTTAACAAGTGTTCAAAATGGCCTCATCTTCTGTGAACGCAAGGTAGGCACCTGTGCCAACACAACTTTGCCGAGTTCTACTACCTTTATTTCTGCCTCCACGCTTCCTAAGTGCCAAAGGTCATCACGGTAGCATAAACTCGGTCTTTCATTCCCTCAATTCCAAAAGCATTGGGAGAATCCAAGTTATAAAATTCAGAAACTGAAGTCTTCGTAAATGCATCCTCAGCCCTTACACTCAAAATTCTAACTCTAAATTTTTGAAAATTTCAAAAGTATGAATTTTTTTTTCTGTGTCTTCTTACAACTACAAAATTGAAGATAGACATTTTTCCTTTAAATAAAATTTTTTCTCCATAGTCAGTTCTTTCATTAAGGTCATGTACTTTTGAAAATTTTACTAATTTTCACGCAATATTGCATGCAATATGAGGAATTTTAAAAAAATTCCAAAAACCAGGTTGTCTTAAATATGGCTCCAAATTTTTTCTTTAAACTTTTGGTAGGGATGTAAATGTACTTTATAAGATGACATAAATGCCATATTGCTCTATTCCTTTCTTTTCAAAAATGTAATTTCCTTAACATCTCTCTCATGTCGTTAATATTTATATTAGCGGCAATTTGTTCACATTATTGTATTTATGAATACATATGCTTTAAATAATATTGTACAAAGTTTCTCGAATACTCTACTATTTTCAGGGAAACTAGTTCAAAACTTTGAGACGCTCAAACGCCATTTTCTCAAAAACCTCTCCAAATTTTTTTCCAAACATTTCGAACAGATAGTGGTAATTGGACTCTTTAATATAATGTAAAGTTCATTTCAAGGTGTTTTTCTTTTATTTTTTTCAAAAATTACACGAATGTAAATTGTTTGAAAGATCTCTCATGCCATTGCACATTTCCAGCAATTAGTAGACACTATTGTAATTGTGAGTTTAAGTACTTAAAATGATTTCAAATTAAGTTTTTCAAAAACTCAAAAGTTTTCTGTGAAAAAGAGCTTCAAATTTCAAATTTACAGTGGCGCTTAAACGCCAGTTTTTTTAAAATGGCTCCAAATTTTTCCAAGAAAATTGGCATTCAATATGACGTTTCACTGTTATTTAAGAATCTTAAAATAATATTTCCACTATACAATTAAGAAACCAAAAAATTAAGAAAATTTCAAAAAAATGTACTTTGGATGGCGATAGATGGCAGCAGACAAGAATACGTGGCAAGTTTGAATAACTAACTGAGACTAAAGGAAATAGAAAATTAATATGGGAAAGTCTGTTCTATAACATCACTAGTGTGCCTTGTGCTCGCTTTCAGGGCTTCTCGGATACTATTAGCAATTGAGTTTTCCAGAGAAGTGGCGAGTCCGTGAGGTTAAACCGCTCGCTCATTTGCCGTAGCCCATGTTACACAAGCACAAGGGCACAGTCAAGGGCACAAGGGCAAGTTTAACGTTAATTAATTATAAAACTAAATGACAAAGAGAATTCAATTGTGGCATATTCAGTCTGTACATTGCATATGGGATAAGGTCCTGGTGTATTAGCAATGAGGACTGAATAACCCTGTATATATTAATAACAATACATGACGTTTAAATCCAACACAAAATTCCAATCCAATGCAAAATTCTTTATAAGAAAACATGAAGACAGCTGGTCACAACTCCTACAGTCTTCCCCCACTCCTCCTGTAGAAAATTCTGGTTGCACCACTGCACACATAGCAGTATGTAAGTACAAAAAGCCATAAAGGGAAAAAGAAGTCAAAAGTAGTCTAAAATTATCAATGTAGAGATGTTCTGCCAATGAATAGAATATGATACAAACAATAAACATACAGCTTAAAATATAGTTCATCCTTTTAGACAACTATTGATTTTTATTGAATTTGAATGTCATCACGTTAATTGTAGAGTACAAATAACCAAAAAATGTTAAAAATCTTAATTTGCTCCACTTTAAAGTGAACAAAATATCTTGAAAATGCTATAGAATATTAGAAAGATCACTGAATAAAAGTTAAATTCTTGAAAGTGGTTCACCCTAGAAGTAATCACGGGGAGTAGAAGGGCCCTTCTGAGCGAAACATACATTTCGGGACTTCATACATTCTTGTGCAAATTTACCTCAAAACAACTCTTTTGGAATTATATCATTTGAAATTTCTGTGTCAAAGTATAGCAACTCCTGTTGACACCACTTTTCTGATACACATAACGTCCACTTGGAACTGGGATTCCCAATCAGGATGGTATTTCCCCCCTGGAGGTTGATAAAATTTTGAAAGGGTTAAACTTTGGTTGATGAACAGGTGACTGACGGGTATAATCAAGATCCTATTGATTACAAAAATATTGAATGACATTGATAATTATTTTCTGCTATAGAATAACAAAATATATGATAATAAATTGCAAATTTGTTCCTCTTCTTTTATATCCTCATTCATCCTTAGGGTCCTAACTAGGCCAGCGTAACTTGTATACCGCACCATTCTCTGGAAGTAAGAGGCCCTTAATAACGCCCCTGTGGATATCGAAAAGAATAAAGCAAATTGCACTCCATGCTTATTTTCTCCATTGCATTACCTGTTATTACACCAATTAAGATTCAAAACTCTTAATTTCATGTTAATTGCAGATAGGGGCCACATTTCCATTATCTGCACCAAGGCATCCCAGAACCTGCCTAAGCAATTGCTTAGTATGTTTAGAAAACTCAAAAAATTATATGTATGTATTGACAACGATGTTTTATTGTGAGAAAAAAATACTCCTTATAACACACTGGAGAAATGTTAGAAATGGACAGGAAAAAACTCTCAACATTTTGTAATTATTGCACAACAATAAAGATTAGAAAAACTCAGCTATTCAAAACTGGAAGCATCTTTGATTATTATAATGTATATATTTACCAAAATAGTGGTGTACAAAATTGTTACGTTCAAGTTAAGACATTCTTTGGGTTATGATTATGTATTATATGTTATAGAGAAAAACATTGGAGGGGTGGGGGAGAGATGAACGCAATCTTTTAAAAGGGGTCAATGAATGAGAATGGTTGTGATCTCTGATTTACAATATGAGAATTGAATTATTTGCTCTTATGCTACTTTTTAACTATACTTTTCTAAGTATTAAGTAAAATTCTGAATGTAGATTATGTCAATTGCACAATTTTCTTCTCTGCTTAGGGCTCAATCTACCAGCATGTGAGATTTCTTTTACTGTGCGAGAATGAGAATTTATCCCCTTTGTCCCCATCCGTTAGTGCCACCTCTTGGGAGTCATGCACCCCTCCTTCCATATTAATCCTGTGACCATGGGAGACATCATTTCTTACACAAGTGCCAGATATTTCAATATAGACAGAAACTTAATTCCTTCAACAGGGGATGTCACACTTTACATTGTATAATCTAATAGTACAGACCAAATGACATCAAAATCCGTAAAGTATTGATATATTACATAGTTTTACCCCATTTTTACTTATAATTGTTGCCTGGATTGCCATCATCCTAGAAGAGTTCACAGATAACCCATTCAAACTCTATAAGGAAACTACCTAAAATTTGGTTTATATGATAGTGAGTTATGTAGTGTGTTAAGAATTTCTAACATGATGCATATGGTATAAAAACTGGTGCCAGTGTAGCATGATAGAATGAAATATATCAGTTCAGTCATGATGAGCCAAATGATATCTTGTGATGTCAATATGTTGTGTGGTTTTCAAACCCTAATGTAATAGCATTTGAAATGATTGAAATGCATCACTGTGGTAATTTCCTTAAATTTTTATTACTCAAGTTAAATGAAAAATTGATTAGTAGGATTTTCTATTTGAAAAAAATTAATTGATGATCATAATAAAATAAATAAATTATCTAAAACTGCAGAATTACATTGTTCTTATTTAATAAACAGACGTGAACCACAGAATTTCTGTCCAGTAAACATTCTTCAATCTTGTAACATTCTCAAAATATTAGCTTGTCATAGTCAAAATGGGAAGCTCTACATTCCATGGATACATGTTTAACATCGTACATCCAAATGTTAGGATACTAATTAAACTAAATTTATTTTACTCACATTTGGTTTAACTTGCAAAGCAGTTTTGAAACAGTCTACAGCTTTATCATATTCGTTACTCAAATTGAACAGTACGCCCAGACCACACTGTACATCGGCATCAATATTACCTCGCGGGTGTAGACGAGCTGCTGCTATATATAAATCTTGTACTTCTTTGTGAGTGTCACTACAAAAAGACTCATTTTATTGGTGAAAAATTAACAAATAGCAATATTTTTAATTAAATACACAATACTTATTAGTCACTTTGTTAACTTACAATGTTAAAAACGATGATGCTACTCCGCTTTTAGAAGTAGATGATTCATCAGGCACCAAGTGACAATAATCCTTATTTTGTCTTAACCATTCCTGCAAATAATATCAAATGAGCACAATATGACTTTATGATGATTTCACATAATTTTGTAGCAAAATAATACATCTTAATGAGAGTAGGTCACAAATTGTAGGAAATGCATGAAGAGTACTATGGAGATGAAAAATAAAGGTATAAGAAAGGAAGTTCAAAGGCATAACTTGCAACAAATTCTGGTTAAATAAATTGAAGTACACAACAATGACTTCTGTTTTTCTCGACATACCTTTAAAACAAGACAGGCTTGATTTTGATAACTTTCATTGGTATAACTCACTGCAAGAGCCATGAGTGCTCGTAAATTGCCTGGATTAAGTTTCAAACAATTCTTTAAAGCTGATATTGCAGCAGGATCCTATAAAAGTAAATCATCACATTAGTGAATTCTGCCATCCACACAAATGAAAGGACGTCCAAGATCAGGTAATTTATTTTTGAAGTTGCCACAAAGGAACTCAAGGGTCCTTGCTATTGATGTTAGGAAGTATATTGATTTACTAGCACTTCAGAAAAAAATTCCAACAAAATATCATGGATTCTATGTGTTATCTGTTCCTGATAATGAAGCTGAAGTAATTGATGAGAATAATGAATATATACAAAAAAACACGGAGTGTTCTCTTAAACTATTAAAATTGTTTGAAATTATGTACTACAAACATCAATAAACTGTTCATTAGATACTTCGTTGTGTGATTGCGTCTGTGGAATGAAGTAGCTAACCAATTTTTCCCTCACCTCCTCGGCTTTAAATATTAATTTCCCTGGCTAAATTCAATAATGAAAGTTCATATTCATATCTGTTGAATTATTCATATTCATATCTTGAAAGAAATCTCAACTCGAGTGGAGATTTTGAGAGTTCTGAATATACTCCTCTGATTTATATATTGTTTTTGAAATTTCAACCAGCTTTTTTTCGAAAGTGAGCTCCTTTTTTCCTGAATTCCTTCATAAGCACCAAGTCATCATAAAAGAAATGTGTCAAAAAGAGTTTTGAAATAGAACTGTAATTCATTATTTTTATTTTCATTGACTTGTATATCTCAACTTCTTGTGATGATTCCCCACCCTATCCTGCCATGACAAATTTGTCTACATTTAATTCATTTTCTATTTATTGTAGAAGAAACTATGGATGTCATTTTCACCTTCTCGCTTTCTATGAACTTAATAATACTAATACTAATACTAATAATAATAATAATAATATGGTGTGAGAGGATAAATTTATTTTCATCTGGAATAGATTTTGCGTCGTCCACGAGTGAACCGTATTTTAGTACCTTCCTCGTATTGGTAATGGTGTATATAGTAATTTCGCATGATGAGAAATAGATATTATGTTTCTATGTCTCAGTTTCATACTTTGCGTTCCTGCCGCGGCGGGTCTCTGGAACATAGAATGCTCTCTGGAAAGCACTTCGGCAGGTGCAGTATAGTGGAGATGGATGTTGCATTCGCGTATATATCGGGGGATCCCCGATCAGGGCCCGCCTGTCACTCTGATCACCACCGCCGCATGCGTCACCTCCACGGTGGGCTCCGAAGGTGCCCCGGCGCCCCAGCAGCGCTTGCTTTTCCGAGGCCTACGGAACGCATATTTTCTGCGTGTCTCATATCTCTATGGTGTGCCAATCGCCGCGTTTGCGTCCAGTTTTTCTGACGTTGCCCGTCCCCGTGGCCTAAGTTCTCATTGCTGCGGACGTAGGGGGCTTGGGAGACTTATATTGATTATATGA